CGAATGCTCTCATGACCTCCTTTCTCTCTCCAGCTGCCTGTTTTCATGATTATTTGGCCAATGCCACTTCACTCTACCAATACAGGACTGGATTTCCTCTGTTTTCCTCATGCAATACCACTACTTCTCTCCATGTCACCATGTTTGTCTGCTACTCCCTGTGCCTTCCCACTCCCACAGGCTCCAACAGAATAGCTGCAGCTCCCTACAGGTCCTCTGCCACTGCAGTATCCCCCAGATCTTTTGTTGCCTCCAAATCACGAACCCCATTAATCCTCACATACACTTCCCAGTTTGCCTGCCAGCCCTCAGTTTCCTCTCTTCCCCTCAAACTCAGCCCGTTATTTCACCTCCAGCACACCAGTATCTCCTACACACTGCATTAAAGTCCTAATGCCTTTGTCACTATCTTAAAATAACTTTACATTTCTACAATGACTATACCTCCCTTGCCATATTCTTCATATGCCCCTTGTCCACCACATCTCCTCCTTACTTTTCTTTGGCTTTCCAGCCAGACAAAAAGCAGGTATGTTCTGACTGCTCTGAAGATATGTGCCCACTGCTGGGCTGACTGGCAGGCACTTGGTTTTTGGCCAAGTTACACACACGTCAGTCAGGAATTGAGTGTAAGCTGACAGCCAGCCAAACACCATGACATGGCTGCAAACAAACCATTTTGTGGGAGGCATCTGTTTCCCTTGCAGATCAATATTGTGTAGGGCTGTGATCACAACAGATATGTTTGGCTGAATATAACTAATGGGTTGAAAAGTTATGAGAGGACTGACATTAATAGAAAATGAGACTGCACGAGCTTTATGTTGTCAAGAAACCAGGCCAAAAAAACCCCATCTTATATTTTGTCCCACATAGCCACCGTCAACATATTTTCAATTCAAATGAGATAATTACACTCCTCTGTTTCTCCTCCCTCTGTCATAAGAGATTTGATTTTTCACTGGGTGATTATTGTAATCTGTTTCATAAACAGATTAACAATTTTTTTTTATTTTCATGTTTGAGAAGAGAAATAAAATTGTATTTTTTTATCTGCATTTTCAAAAAGAATTTAAAATAAAACTGGCTGTTCACTTATCCAGTGCTAGTGGTTAATTCTCTGAGCAGCTCTACCCTCTTGTGGTCACAGCTAGCTGCAGCCAAATGAAAAACTTGCAAATGTAATCACAAATATGTCCACGTGTAGGCACAGTACATGAAAGAGACCCAAAAGAGAGAGGCACAAAGACATAACCTATGCCAGAAATTTAAAATCCTGTGAAATTCAATAAAACAGCTTGAGATTTTGAAGATTCAGTCTTTCATTTATAGCAATTAAAATGTAGGATTTTCAGATGAGCAAGAAATTTCATATTGTTCATGTTAAGTGTTAGTCCGCTTTTTTTTTAACATTTTGTCTAAATTGCAACAGAGCCAAATAATTTTTAAAATATGTCCTGCGAACAAGCTATTTAGAAAAATATTTTCATTTTGAGAACATCAGCAGATCATATTCTGGAATGGCTGAGTCCTGGGGCCTCCAAAGTCTGCATGAGATTGAGGTGCTTGTCAGCTGGAAAGCCCAAGCATGTCAGGCTGCTTTCCCCAAGTCAGCCCTGCCCAGAGCTGCACAAGCTGGCAGTCTCTCTTGGGATCTCAGGCCTGGCTCCATCACAGTGATCTGTGAAACCCTGAAAACTAGCTAGAATCAGGGTCTCTTGAGGCTTCCACCTCTGTGGCTAGGTATTGAAACCAGGTTAAAACTGAATCTCCCAGGGCTCATCTCATACTTCCTTACCGTGTGCTTCCTTGGTTGTTTCAGCCAGCATGTTCAGTGAAAGGGGCGGTGGAATGTAATGAATCCCTGGCAGAAAACTTGGTGGGATGAAGTGAGGCAGAGGAGTGTAGTATCCTTGATGGAACTCTCCACTTCCATCTGGAATCTGTGGAAACACATGAAGCAAAGCATCTTCCATCTAAAGACTCTCTCCAGGACACATCTGCAGTATCAAACAATTTTGTTTCAATCTTTACCTGTGAATAATACATTTTTTGTCTATTTTGTGGCCATATGCTGACACTTCTGTGCACATATCGGCATGCACAAAGCCTGTGCATAGTGTAACATGATGAAACGGAGAAGCAGCAGCTTCTCAGACCATGTCTCAGCTGAAACTGACCTTCTAATCCTTGTATTCTGTTCTGGTATCTCATTAGAGTAGTTGGTTTAAACCAGGAGCAGCTCGCCTTCGCCACTGACTTGGTGCACTTGTCATTGAACAAGTCTGGAAGTCTTCATGCAACAGAGAGGCAACCTAGGAAAATGCTCCTTGACACCACCTCCCTGCTAGTTATGGATGCTCCCCTGAGCCCAGTGAAATGAGTGGCTCCACCTACACTGAGGGCCTGGTGTCTTCTGTGATCACCAGACCTGTTAGAGCACGATAAAACTCATTCCGTATGCAAGGGAAGATTTCCCTCCCTCAGAAACACTAGCATCAGAGAAACAGGAGCATTTCTCTCTTGGATCTGGCCATGCACCCTGGTACAGGTACAGCTTGTATGGGATCTTTCCATCTGTTTCAGGACAGTTAAAAATTAAGTTCAAAACCACATACAGTGATGGTCTAGACAAGGCATTTCCCAACCTGTGCATATCCAGCCCACCAGGACTCAGACTGCTGCTAGCCACTCTCTCTCAGTAACCCCTAGAATGTGACATGGAATTTCTATGCGAGCATAATGAATCTAGTAGTCCTGATACAGATACTTTAACAGGAACTGATGAACTGTACTCAATGCAGACAGAATGGTGCATGGCACCTGTGATAACGTGCCCGACTGTGATACAGAAACTGGACACCACCAGTTTAAATCAACATGACTGACAGCACTGAAAGGATCTGGAAGTGCCTCCACACACCACTACAATTGGCAGGCAATTTAGCATCTTGTTTCTTACCATATCTGTGTGGTCTGAAGGTGTGGGTCCTATGATGCTAAAAATCATTTTTCATCTGAAGCTTCTGTTAACCACAACAGTTTTCCACTGTTTTTGAGAAACCAAATGTCTCAAAACAGAAATATTCAACCATGCTGATTCGCTTCCTTCTGGAAACCGATTTTCCCCTGTTCTTTGCGACTGTGGTGCCTTGGCCAAGCCCTGAAACTCTCCCTCCCCATTACATTTGTCCTGCGTGGAAGGAGAGGAACCTCCCAATGTGCTTTCTGTGCCACATACGCTGGCACAACATGACCATATTAAGTTTCCAACTGCCATCATTCCAAAAGGCTATTGCAGGTGTTACCAGACCTGTAAGCCCCAAAACACTTCACAAAATCTGGCCCTTGCAAGTGCATGGGTTTGCTCTTCTGGGTTCAGGTCAGACTATTAACATTACCATTTGTTTTCTGCAGCATAATATATCAAAATGCTGTGAAGTAACTGATAAGCAGGGTAACTTACTTTTCATGGGTACTTTAACAGCAAGAAGGCAGCTAAAAGTGAAGACAGAAGTATTTCCAAAGGTAGTTAAAAGACCACTACTTACTGACACAGAAGCTGCATTCCCTGGCCCATAGTTGCTAGGAATGTGTCGGAACCCCCTCTGAAGTGGTATCCCTGGAGGTGATGGTGCTCCTCTACAGCTTGACTGATTGATGGCAAATCCCATGGGAAATGGGTGGTAAGGATATACCCCAGAACACCCAGGGTACACTTTTGGAGGTTCTCTCTCCAGGTATTCTGGGTTGACCATGTATTCTGGAGGAAAAGCAGGGTGAGCTAGGAAACAATGAGAAAAGAACAAATAAAAGTATCCAATTCTATGGAGTTTAGTAGAAGTAGATGCAGGACCAAATTCCACTCTCAGGCAGGAGAATCCAGCCCTTTAGTTTCATGGTTAGCTCCTCATAAATTTAGTTTTGGGATTTTTTAAGGAACTAAGGAAAGGTGCAGTAGATGATACTGTAACGCAGAATGATCTGTGTTCTTTTCTGCCTTGTGCATTATGAAGCTAGTCCTTAGTAGAGCACTGGCTGCTGAATCTTATTCTTTCAGAACATAGCAACAGCAAAACAACTTACCTTAAGACTTTTAACTCTAGAACTTAAGCCAAAAATCTACAGAAATAATAGAGTTCTAAATTTAGTCGTATCTGTCACTTGAGTTAATATACAGACTCAGTTTTAGGGACATACACAGGCAATTTCAGTTGCAGGAATCAGTTACTTCCTTTCTTTTTTATCTTGCATCTGGAATCTTATATGGTCTCTTAAGTTTTAAAAAAAGAGAGTGGTTATTTGACTACAAATAGGGTCTTGTCTGCATATCCTCCTGTTGGTAGAGAAGTGTAAGAATTTGCTTTAAGAGTAGGTCGACTTCTGGAGTACTAAATTATACTCTTTGTCCCTAAACTTTTTTTTAAATTGGTCAGCATGTTAAAAATGTTATTAAGGGAAGGACTGACAGACACATGTACAGCAAGCGTCATCCATAAACATCATCTTCTTAGGAAACAAAGCTTAAAAAAGAAGGGGAACAGTTACTGACAGGTGGGAACTAGAGATGTCTGAAAGGACTCTTTCCTCTGGGCTTTTCAGAACAGCATTCCGTCTTGCAGCCTGCCAACTCTCTAGAGGCTGACTAATGACTACTGCAGTCAGTAGGGATTTTCGTAAAATTACTATAGTAAATAGTAATAGCATGAAGTTACTGTAATAAATAGTAATAAACTAGACAAGTCACATGAAAGACTCTATTAAAGGAAGCAATTTAAGAGGTGACAGACCATACAACTGTTCCACCTGCAAAATCTATGCTCTGCTCTTAAATACCAAGTGTACTTTTACACCAAGTGATCCCAGCCAAGTTCAGTCTTTGCTACAGGAATTAAGGCCAAAAGGTCTCTTTCATTTACAGTGCTATCATAAAATGCTTGCTTCAGGCAACTGCAGCAGTAACTTCCCCATATAAACGGTGAGAGAGCACTCAGAGAAATATGCACGAGCACCTGCAGTGCACAGTGGATCACAGCTTGGTTTCCCTCACAGACTAATTTCCCTCTCAGAGAAAAGCCACTTGCTTAAGCTTCAACTTTGCAATGAGCAGCAAGGCTGAGCACATTGCTCATGCCGCTGCAGAGCCGCATGACCTACATTGCAGACTCTGCAAAAGAGAAAGTAAATGCAGGGTTGTACATTCAACATGAAAGTTGGGTACCTGTGTCCACTGAGGAAGGAACG